CCTTTCACCTCCCTGCATTGTGCCTACATATGCAAATTAACCGCCATCTTGTTGGCAGTCCAATCTTAGTTGGCAGTTAATTTGCATATAGCCCTGATTAGCCAATGAAAAGGGTATTGGTCGTGCGCCAATTACCATTTTTGTCTTTTATTAGATAGGATACATACAGTAAAATTGTAAATTCCCCTTTGCTGCTGCTCTCTAGTTAAGCCCTCTCCTTTTTAACCCTAATTCACTGATCTGTTCTGTCTCTAGGAAGCATTTTCCATAATGTCAGAAATTACAGAGTGTAATCTTTTAAGACTGGCTTCTTTCACTCAGCATGCTATCTTTGCAGTTTGTTGTTTTGTATACCAATTGTTTGTTCTTTTTAATTATTACTAAGTACTATTTCATTGTATGGATTTACCAGTTTATCCATCTGTTTTTTTCTTTGAAGGACATCTGATTATTTCCAATATTTGAAGAATGTAAATAAAACTTCTATAAATATTTGTATACAAATCCTTTTAAAACATTTTTAAATCATACAGTAAAATTCACCTTTTTGGTGTGGACAGTTCTATAAATTTTAACACATTTGTAGATTTGTGTAACCACTACAATCAGGATACAGAATAATTTTATTATCTCTCCAAAACTATCTTGTACTATTCCTTTGTATTTATATTCTTCACCCAAGTCTAACCTCTGGCAGCCATTGCCTGGATTCATTATAGTTTTGCAAGTATCTTTTTTTGCAATATAGTTTGACTCTTTCTGGCTTTTTTTTCCTGATCATCCAGGTCAGGTATTTGTCCCTAAATAGCATGCTTTTTGTTGTTGGTGGTCTCGGTGTTTCTTTGTTTTGTACTTTAATGCTTGGTGTTAGTTGCATATTTTCTTCCCATTGCAGATGTGGAAATGGGAAAGGCATGGTGAAGTTGACTTTACCAATTAAGCAATTCATCAGCCTGTGAAGAGTAAGAAGGTAGAGCCAGTACAGTGGATATGCAGGTGAAATTTTTGAAACCACCATGTCAGGAAAGTTTTTCCTGCATATTAACCGTTTAACACTTGGGGTATCATGTGTCCTTGCCCAGTTTTCTTCCTGGTGCTTTACCTCTTGTCGAGGCAGAATTTGTAGATTTTCTCTTAGATGTACTTGTACTTGCACTTTGGCTCTCCAGCAAAACTGCTTTCAAAATATTCTTGATATCCTAGTGATGAAGGAAGGTTGTATATATATTCTAGGTCCTTCTGTGCTCTATCCAAAAAGACAAATTAGTAGTGTTTTGGTAGGATTCTCTTTACTTGTTACACTTTTTAAATTTTTAAATAAAAGCAGTTGCAAGTCATTAGTTAAACTTCTCCTTTAACGTGACCCCCTCTTTCTTGTATTTAGCTGAAATTCCTCAAAGCGTATGATAATGTGAAGATTACATTTTCCCAGGTGCATGTCCTTCAGACCATCGGTAAAGAAGGGTTTCTTAAGACATAAAACACTAATTATAAAAGAAAAACTGATAAAATTTGACTATATGAAAATCTGCTCATGAAAAGATGATTTAAAGAAAGTAAAAAGACATGTTAGGAGTTGGGAGAAATTTGAACATAACTGACCAAAGATTAGTATCAAGAATAAAAAATATCTATGAGTCAATTTAAGAAAAAGATAAATAATCTAGTAGAAAAGTGGGCAAAAGATGTATGGATAGTCCTTTCATGGGAGGAAACAATAATGGTTAATAAGTACATAAAAAGATATTCAGTCTTAATAATAATTAGGGAAATGATAATGAGAAAATACTTCATATCCATTTATTTGGCAAAATTAAGAAACTTAATAGTATCAAGTATTGGAAGACTGCAGATCAATAAAATCTCATAAAATTGCAGATGGGAACCTTAAATTGATAAAGCCATGTGGAGAAGCAGTTTTGTAAGGTATATATTCCATATACCTTATAGTTCAGCAGTTTTCCTTCAGGATAGATACATAAGAGAAACTTACCACATACCCCAGAAGACATACAACAATGTTCTTAGTGGAAACAAGTGATAATAGTAAAAACAAAACAAAAAAACCAAGGACTAACCAATGTCCATC